CTCACGAGCCCACCAGGGGGGAGTGATCTGTAGCGTCACACACCTTCCCAAAACCAATAGCCCAGGGTTTGACGACTTTCGACATTGATGCTGACCTTGATAGTTCAACTGGACTCGCCAAGCTGAAGGCACCCAACCAAGCATCCTCGCCATTTGGCACGCTGTCGTGTTACGTTGCACTTCTCGTAATCGACTCTCTAACCAGTTAGTTGGAACGCATCGGTATCTCGGCACAACCATCCAAATATGCTATTCCATCTGACTACGTTATCGTGTTCTTCCTTGGTCTCGTACTCGTGAGTATATAACAAGTCCGAATAATTAGCGATTGGTCCTTGCGTCTGTCAAGTTCGCACCAGGTCGTATACGAAAGACCTACCCTGGATAGTGTTTCGATGTCGACTTCAATAATGTATTCACTACTTGTCAGGACGCCCAGTGGGACGGGCTACTAATCTGAGTTATAATTTCATTCAGCCAGGTAACGCCTCGAATGCCTTTAACATGCTTTCTTGTGATGTTTCGTTCTCTTTATCATCTTTCAGTCTGCATATTTGTGCCTTTAGTTCCTCTGTGGAGGACTTTGGGCTTTCGATTTCTGGAAGAAGTGACAATGTCACACTTGGTGGCTGAAGTCTAGTTAATCTGACAAAAGATGTGGAGCTTCCATTAAGCTTTACGTCCGCTGCAACATTTATTGTTGCGGTCTTATTACATGTTGGGCCTACAGAGATGTTTCTGTTATTAGCAACGTTGGCTGTCTTATCGAACGCAGTTCTTCTCTTCGGCATAACTGGAGTACAAGCTGACTCGCTTATGCTGTTGCAAGAGGAATCTGCCTTTGGTGTTACCAACATTTGGGCATTGTTGATGCAGTGTTCCACAGACATTTATGTCCGTGCCTTTTTAAATGCATTAGCCATATCTAGTTGCATGTGTGACATATGATTAGTCATTTGAGAATTCAATAGCTTTATGATGACGTTAATAACAAAGTTATGATACAGTTACGAAATCACGTCGAAATATAACACAATTTCAAACGTACTGCAAAGAGACCGAATGGACTCAGGGAAAAAGGTCTCAATGTGCCACAATGGTCCACTTTTCTATGGAGGCCCTGGAGCAGGTTCGCCAGTCAGCGACGTCACGATGGAATTTCAGAGTGCAAGGCAGTTTATATGATCACCAGAAGTGACAGTTCGAGCGCGTTCAGAAGTTATATTACAGATTGTGTGAAATCGCTCAAGGAAGCAACCTGGTTAACTAGGTCTGCGGGTTATCTCTTCGTGCCTTCCTGCATATGCCTTCAAAGTAGGGAAGTTGCAGCGAGCCAGCTCCAACGTCATAAGAATGATTCAAGTTGCAAGATTCGATAAAGAGCATGAAGTGATGAAACCACCTTCAAGCGGCTCGAATGTGGGGGGCCTGTGCGCGCCAGTGAGTAATCTGAACCCGTATTGTTTGGTGGGCGAATGTACGCGGGTGGTAAATTTTCTTATCTCACTTGGTCACCCGAAAGAAAGCATAGGCTGGTCTGACCTTCTGGACGCCACACCACCGACTAAGTTCTGAAGCATTATTCTGAACTAAAACGGCCTGCGGAGGCCACTCAGGAGTTGGCGGTAGTTAGAAAAAACTTCTGCATGTTGAAGGGTGGCGTGGCCAAACGAATGGTCACTGGAAATCGGATTCAACACAGAAGAGGAACTGCATGCCTATGGCACGAAGTGGTGGAACAATTACCATAAATCACATTCGTAGATTTTTATCATTATCATTTGTCCCTTGGGTTCTTAGTCGAACGTAAGGCCTCAGTAGCGCGTCTCAGTTGCGCTGTGTTCATTGCAGTCCCTTGAACCTGGCTTCATGACTGCCCGGGACCCTTCACTTCCTCCTGACATGATCTCCTCAAGACTAGCGGATGGCCAACTGCCCTTATTAGGTTGGGACAGTTTATTTGGGCCCATTTCCAGTCGTGCATGGAAAGGGAATACTGGCCGACAAGAACGAACCAGACAAATGCTTCGGAGAAAGGGAACACTAGCAGACAGGCATCAGCTAGACAGCTCAACGGGTTGACCGACGTTTAATCCACTAGCACAGTGAGTGGCTAGACAGCGTTCGTGGACACGCAGTCACAGGGTGTTGAATGCTGTCACGAATGATCCGCAGTTAACGGATGAAGATCACATGAAATTGGTGGAAGGAACTGAATACATACTCAACAATCGTCCATTGACCCTATTCACTTCCCAAGTAGGAGATCTCACCACACTGGTTAACGTAACGTCAGTGCCGTTGGCAGACGTAGTAGAGCAGTTCGGCAGTGGGTTTTCCATGTGATGGCAATAAGCCAGTCATCTTGCAAAAATATTTGGAAGCATTTGGGGGAGCATGTTGCCTAACTACGGTAAAGTCATGTAAAGAGAAACAACGTGGCAAGCGGCTAGCTCATGATGGCGTCAGGCATTGCGGGCAGAATCAAGTGACCTCCGGGGCTAGCAGAACGAGGGGCCTGTAGTAGAGACGAGTTAGTTAGTACAGGTAGAACTGAAAATGCTGAAGGTAAACTGACTGAGGACATTCTCAAGGTAGGTCTACTGGAAGTGTCGGGAAAAGGGAATCATTGGGAGATCCTCAGGTGTGAGCTGTGTGAGACGCTTATCAGAATCTACACGCCTGAACTTGTCCGTTTGATTTCGTGAATATTTCCAGATGATTGGGTATAAGTGAATGCAGACAGGAGTTAAATTTATCTCTTATTTTGGTTTCAGTCCTTGTGATGTGTTAAGAAGCACTGGTCATACTTTATTTTGACTTTGCTGAATTCGCTAGCATAACTATTCTGAAGGTCCTGCGTCATTTGGAGGTATCACTGTTTCTTTTGGTCGCAAACCGCGGTACCTGTAAAACTCCAGCTTTGTAATTGGGTTTCCAACACAATTTGCTACAGCAAAATTTTTTACAGCTAATGTACATTGCCTGCTTTTTAGTCAAGTGATCTGAATTTGTTAGTATTTGATCCGGATGTCAGAAGTGAAATTCGTATCTTCGTGAGGCTCTAATTGGAACGTGTCCCATAACACAACCTTTGGTTCTTCAGGGAGGTTCATCTGCAGGAAGTCACCACTAGCCCTAGCTTTTTCTTGCTAAAGTCTAATGGTGAGTTAAATGACTCCTTCCATTATCCGATTATTTTCTAGTTCAGTTACTGTGGTGTTACATAAAACCTCTTCTTTTCTTAGTCCTCATACCGTCTCCAGTGCTGCGCTTACTTGCTACATTTTTGACTATTTCTGTCAGTCACATTAGTCTCCAGTTGTTATAGCCTAACCTGGTAGAATGCTTAGTTATGCCCAGGGTTTATCCCAACAGAACCCCAGGTGTAGCTTTTCATACGTTATATCTTAGTAGATAAAGGTCACTGGCAGTACCTGGAATGTCCGGGAAAGACCCCAACAGAAACATTTTCGCATCGTTTCCAATACTACAGTTATCATTAAGATTTTCATCTCATAGACAATTCTGACGATGACGGTACAGGAGTCTCCCTTCCACCCGTTTTGCTTTTCCCCATCAAAATTGTCAAAAATAACCATTAGAGGGCACATTTATTTTATTCTTACGAGTGTACCACGACGATGAATTCCCCAGGTGCTTACAAATCTGGACATCTTATGAATAAATAACTTGATTAGGACCGTCAGTATTCTTAGGATTATACTGTTTTTGAATCCCTGTTGTAGAAAACGCACACCACCTAGATAACTTTCTACGATTTCAGTGGGACTAAGATGAGGGCCATATGCTATCAATCCCCAACAATCTGTTGTTTTTCAAAAGGATAAAGACGTGTCACCAATAAATTTACCATCATCTTTTCCTTGCTGAACTGTGTCTTCTTTTTTCTGTGACTCCAAGGAGGTGTTTCGTCGTCTAAATTTGAACCAGGACCCTGTGATGGTGAAGGAGATCGATGGGCTTTCCATGAGAGTTGTCGCAGCGCATACAAGGACTGGTTTTCTCAACAGCCACATAGGTAAACCAGCAGTTCCCCTGTGAAACTCTTTTTCCAGCACAAAATATGCACTCACCCAATTACACCTACACGTTTTTCGAATAGTTCTTCAACGTTTAGTTATTGTCCATATCGAAAGTTTTTTAACGTCTTTTTGCCCAAAAAGTAGCCGGCCATATGTGTAAGGATGGCACCACGCCTGCACTCTACGCTGACCTCTATGAATTCCCTGACTTCTCTAAATAATGAAGCTTAAACTCAGTTGCAGTAAAAGTGCTTCGATACACATTGTGGGTATTAGATACTAGGAACAAGTTGATTTGACTGCTTTCCTGGGATCCGATCCAAAACAACGGCATATTGCAGTGCTTATTGAGTTGGAAGATCTAACCTGCTTCTACCAGTTCTTTGTGTATTCAAATGCTTCAATTAAAGGTGTGTTTAGGGTCCCATACCACCTTGTTTTAAGTAATCTAGACAAAGAATAGTCCGTGCTTCAGTAGAGACGATACAGTGCAACTAATGTCGGCTGGCTTCACCCACTCTTTGTTTGGATTGCGACTGATAAAACCTAACGTTCCTCCGTAGAATAATCTTAGGAAGAGACACGTTCTGAAATTGATATTTGTATCGTGAATTGTACTACATATCAACTTATCTGGATTCTTTACTCCCTCCTAGGCTTATTCTCCTGGAAGCCAATGAAAAATAGTCTAAGTCGTCGCTCAAATTATTTCGGAGGGGGTTCTTATTTTTTTAATGAAATACTCTGTAACCAAACATTGACAGCAGGATGGGTGACTATAGCTATCACGATTCAGGACCCCTGCAACAGTGACTAATTTGAAGATTGATGCATATTACTTAGCTTGTAGTCCTAATTATTCAACACCACAGAACTAAGTGATTGGACATTAATGGCGATTTTGTTTGTACGGATCGCGTCAATTTACTTGCCTAGGTTACAGAGTGGACTAAAATGATTTCCAGTGACAATAACGACGATGTTGATATATATGAAAGCTTTGACAAACTTAACTGCAGAATGGATACCGAAAATTTCAGTGATGATACTGCCTTTCAGCAGGTTGTAAAAAATACCAGTAATGGTAGAAAAGCACCGGTAAATTGCATTTTTTCCTCCTAGGGAATCGATGCGATATTTTATTCCTGTGTGATGTGCTGGATTTGGTTTTTTTGGCACAGTTCAACATTTTAAAGATGTAAATGCATAGTCAGATGAGGTGCGAGAATATGTTGTTTTTTACACGAATTTACGTAGATGACAGTGAATTTATATATTCAGGGAATAATTCACTCTATTGTCAAACCACTTTATGTCATATTTGTTCTCATCCTGTTTCCCGTTTTGACTTAAAATGTCTTAACAAATTATTTGTTGGTTGATGAACTTTATTCAATTGGGTAAGGTTTAGTTCAGTGGTGACCGAACTATCTATTTAAAACATTTTGTTTCGTGGACAGGATTTCATGAGCCTGAGTTATTTCTTATTCACTATATCAGTGTGCTTGCAATTACGTTTGAATTTGGCAATCTAGCTAATGGTGAACAACTCTTGGTTTTGAATTCAGTTCAGATATTTTTTACTCTACATGGAAACCGTTGCTGACACTGAAAATATTTGTCTTTAGCTGTGGTACCCTTCTAATAATTGCTCTGAAGTGATTTTATGTGATATGGGAGAAAGCTACCACTCAACTTGTTTAAGTCTGTTGTCTAGCTACAGATGATAAATTGTTGATGTTACTCCCTATGCAATTCCTAGTTGGTTTAACCGATCACCATTAGAATCGTACAAGTAGCGTTCCTTTGAACCACTTACATAAAGCGTTCTTTACCCTTCGAAAAAAGCTTACCATGTGGACATAAATATTAAATTTCGATTTAACTTTGGTCACGCACAACAGGATGAAAGTATCACCACGGATCCTAATAAAAGTTTCACATTTCGCGTCCTGTGGCATCAAGCTACAACTGAGTGATAATCGTTAAGGCCTTTACTTCGTGACCTCCTATAATCCCTAGTTGGTTGAAAATTAGTATAGAGTAATTTCATGGATGCCATGAGTATTGTCGTTTGCACATCCTATGCACGTAGTTACGTAATAACGCTGATAGGCATTCAGCATTTTTTGGTGAGGTCAACAAGTTTTTGTGATGTTTTTCAATTATCGATACATCTGCGTCATAATTTTTTATTGACAAATTTTCACATTATCATAACAGGAAAGCATAAAAAAATTTCGTCTAACTTGGCAAGTCATAATTATACAGGAGAAATAAGAGAAAACCAAAGATTACCACTTGCGGTACTCAACTGTAAACTAATTTTCCTTAGAAGAGTTTGAAGTTGATGTTTCTTTTCTGTCTTTTATCAACAAAGACTCTTAGGTGCATGCATAAAGATTACCATCTATTTTGAAAACATGCATTTTCGTGGGTAAAATGTTGCGAAGTATGCTGTCAGACTCATGCGTAACGTTTATGAAAATGATTACGAAAGTTTGTTTATCAGTCCTAGTTTTAATCCAACTTACTATCGGAAGGCTTGTCAAAGGGTAGAAATTTGCACAAAAGCCATGCTGTGAGGTGAGCAAAATACTTTTACCTTCCGTATAAGCCGCAAATTTTGCAGACGTTTGGCAGAATTGCCGGAGAGGTTTATTGGTTTTTAACTTAATTCGTAATACCTGGATCTCCTCTAATAGACTGACATGACTACTGTATGCTCCCAGTCACATAATGACACCCTTTGACCTTGAGATAGTCACAGACTCTGTTTATTGGACCGGCTACACAGGATGCCACGTCTGTTTGTTTCTCCATACTCGCAGTGCACAGATTGCTAAATGTGTCTTTGCAGTACAGTTTCACAAAGTCCAATCTTTATGAGGTTGGTATTTCGATTAGTGTATTTGTGTTCGGCGACGATTTTTGAGTAGAACAGTGAATACAATGCCGCATTATAACCCGCCTTAGTTAGCCAAGCTACTTTTATTTCACTAACTGGTGCTGAGACACCACCTTATGACCAATGTAGATAGCATAGAATGATGTCGTATCTCACATGCAGCTACTTTCTTGGTTGGTCCGTTAGTTACTGTTGACCATGCACCGACATACAGGATAAGATTACGGACTACATTTATAAATCTAAATTGTACTTTAAATCAATTAATGAAGCACCTTCACGGTAATATTTGGCTAAATTATGTAAAGACCTCTAAAGATGGAATGTAGTCATAACTCTTGGGTAATTTATAAAAAATGCACTTCATATCCATATAAGTGTACAATTCACTCTTTTTATGCTGTGTATGAATCTCCTTTTTTTTACCTTGGTATTCGCCAAACGACTGCCAAGATAACGGCATTTTTTGCCAAATAAGTAAAAAATTCGAATTTAATAGTGAACAGTGCGAGAGAAGAAAATACACAGAATAAATACATGAGTCACTAAAAAATTCAAATATCTCAGAAAATAATGTGAAGTGTGGGTTAAGAATTCTCAATTGAATATCTTGTCTTCTGGAGTGCCCACTGAGACATATGTCGTCAGTCTGGTCCGCTAGTCCAGCTGTGGACTTCAAGATGATAACGCTACAGTTACTACTGCCACTTACATTTTTTTCACAAAACGTCTAAATCCATGTTTATATTAGTGTAAAAAGCATCAATTCATGTAATCTTCATATATTTATATATGGATCTGTCAAATGATACTTTTTCCCCATCATTTGAGGGAATATTAGGTGCTCTATTTAACAGACTTCTACAGTCAACGAACCATGAGTTTAAATGTCTCATAAATAGGCCTCTAAGGAACTTGTCTTAGTTTTGCAGTAACATTTATTACTGCATTTAGGCTAGCAGTATGCCAAAGCTAGTATAAAACGCCACTCGTGATACATGAGCATTCACAACTGATTCAATATCTTCAAATGATACTCTATTTTTCAAAATAAATATTGCAACCATACCTCTACAATCGGTGCTGAAATCTCCGTATCGAAAAACTTATGGGGTTATCCATTGCTACCGCTAATATTTGACTCGATGCTTCGTATTTTTTATGCGAATTTTACTGGCTTTTGAGCCAGTAACGTTTATTTTAGTCCACTTCATTTTTAGGCTCCAAGCCCTAGCCAAGTTAGCTTTCACTTCTTCCTGATCCTCACTCACTTTACTGGTAGGGGTGTTTAAACTAATCAACTTGGTTCTTTAATAGTCTGAAAGCTGTGTGACAGAAGACCTTTCTCACCTAGATCTCAAAGTTTAGGTAGCCCTTACCAGATAGATTTTCTGTCGATGACATCTATGAACTTGGATGAACAACAGTAAAGATTTTAGTTGTTACCAATCACTGGATTTCGTTCTGTACGCCAGACTAGTCTGTTTAATCGAGGAAAAATCTAGTTTGCTGATGCACCACACTTAATACCTCAGCCGGATTTTTTTAGCCTGTTAGTCGTGATATTAACTACTTTATGTAAGAGTAAGAGATTAAACGCAGACTTTGTTTTTGATAAGAAGTCTGTTTGTGAGATGTCACGTATCGGAATCTTGTATTTACTTTCAAGGAGCAAGAACTCAATTGTTACCGCAAATAATATTATCACCCCATTAATGTCATTTATTTTCAACTTCATCACCCCATAGTAAATTTTACACCAACGGGAGGAAATGGCGTTGGTACTATTCCAAGATATAAATAAGTTCTTGCTAATAACTGTGACCATATTAAAGAAAATCCTTGAGTAATACAAAGTATGGTTGAATCTCAAAATTCAGAAGTGATTATACATCGGAAATGCCTAGTTTTACACATGAAAGCCAGAATGAAGTGAAAAACCATGAATTTCGTAACACTTGAATTTAATAAGTGAGTTATTCATCCATTTGACTGCAGTAGTTGGGCTGATAAAATAGATACAAAAGGCGTAGGATATCCATATGTAGCTGATATTAATGTTTATTCGAAAGTTTGTGAGGCACTGAACAGTCTGTTTGAACCTTTAAATAAGACACGCAAAGATAAGCTGAACAGTTTTCCACAACTCACTGTAGTATTTAAATTTAGTAAATTGTCACTGAAACGCCTATTTATGATGTTTCTAAGCAAATTAACTTCAAAAATCATTAATCAGCCACTTTAATGGGTAATTTTTACTAGCAAATGAGTTATTTTAAAGCTATAGTGAAGGTAATGTCAGTTAACTAGTTACCTAGGTTGTGGGTAAAGGCGGTAAAACTTTGAACTTTTGCACCTGCAAACAAGCTTCAGCATGCAAGAGGGGAACTTGCTGCTATAGTTTTCATTTTACCCATCTAGACAAAATGAAAACAGAGCACTAACGCGTTTATGAGAGTTTAGCGTTCACTCTTTGAAATGCTTAAATCTGGCTTAGAGATAATCTGTTTTAAGTTACCATAGATAAGACCATCTCTAAGCTTGTGCTGTTGCCCCAATCAGAATTTGAAGGGACTAAAAGATCCATGAGCAGGAGTTGACTTAATCACAAGAGGATTCAGATTATATGTCTAATTGAAGGTGATTTCAAAGGTGCTGAAAATTTGAAAATCTTGGTAAAAAGCTGGACTTCATCGCATATTAAAGGTGAAAATTTCGTTGCATTTAGCAGTTAGCTTCACACAGTCTTAAATGACATAAATATTTTCAGCTACAGATAAATAACTGTTTCTTATTGGTGCCAGTAGTCACCTTAACTTTGCGGCAACAACGAATGAGTGGCTCCCTATCTTTCTAACTAATAGGTGCAAGCTTACAAAACGTTTACTGCTTAATGTGATTCTGTCTGACAAGTAAAACCACAAACTAAGTAATATGCTTAAGTCATCATTGATCCTGTGTCTATGTAACCTAAGAATATTACGAACTTCAAAATTGGAAAGTAAACTGCCTGTCATTTTAAGTTTGTTTCACAAAAGCATTAATACAGTGGTTAAGAAATGGTCATATCTTTGGTTGATAATTTTGTGCTAATCAAACTCAGGTACAATATACAATGTATTCATATCAAAAAAGCCAATGACATGAAATCCATTCAAGCAAATGTAGCTTTTAGGTGTGGGTTTGTGAC